ATTCACAGAGCTCTACTCCAGGTATGTGTACTACTCCTCCTCCAACTCCAATTCCCCAAGATCCCTGCTACCCAAACCCATCCCCTAAGCCTTCTGTGAGACCCCAAGCCTCCAATCCCTCTATAATATCACCCACTCCTTCTCTGATAGTCTACAATCGTCATTCTCCACACCCCAAATCAACCACTTCAATGGCACCTCACCCTGCTCCACCACACGTACCCACCCCTCCAACTCGTATAGTCACCCGCTCATAGAACAACATCCAGAAACCAAAACAGATTTTTGATTACCTAGCCTACTCAGAACCATCTCTTGTACCACATACCTTCAAACAAGCCCAAAAGCACCCTGAGTGGAGGAAAGCCATGAATTCAGAATTTGACGCTTTACTGAAAAACCATACTTGGGAACTAGTTCCATATGACCCCTCTAAGAATGTTGCTTCATGTAAGTGGCTTTTCAGGATTAAAAGGAAAGCAGACGGGTCAGTTTATTGTTACAAGGCGAGATTAGTTGCAAAAGGATTCACTCAAGGGTCGGGCATTGACTTTCACTCGACTTTCAGTCCGGTTGTTAAACCCACTACTGTGCGAATCATACTTGTTGTTGCCCTTCGATTTCACTGGCCCCTTCGTCAACTCGACGTCAACAATGCTTTTCTTCAAGGTGACCTTGAAGAAGAAGTGTACATAACGCAACCTCCGGACTTTGCTTGTGTTGATAATCCAACTCATATTTGTAAGTTGCGCAAGGCAATCTATGGCTTGAAGCAAGCTCCCCGGGCTTGGTATAATGCGCTCAAAGGCCATCTTGCCCACATGGGATTTTCTAAGGCAGATCTGACAACTCATTATTCATCAGAAATAGTAATGTTGGTTTCATGTTTATTTTGGTATATGTTGACGACATAATAGTAACTGGCAGCAACTCCATCACCGTCAATGAAGTTATAGCCTCTCTTGCCTCTCGCTTCTCCATTAAAGATTTGTAAAATCTCAATTATTTTCTTAGTGTTGAGGTGGTTCGAAACACTGATGACATTATTCTCTCACAAGCCACTTATATCAATGAAATCCTGAATGATGAGTTGATGGCTGATTGTAAGAGCGCAAACACACCAATGAGTGCTTCTGAGTTGCTCAAACTCAATGATGGGGCTCTGTCAACTGATGCGACTCGCTACCGTCGGGTCTTGGGCATACTTTAATATCTGTCATTTACAAGGCCGGACATTTCCTATACAGTCAATAAATTATCCCAATTTATGCAATCACCATCTGATCTTCATTGGAAAGCTGTGAAGCGAGTTCTTATGTACCTTCGTGGTACGATCACGTTTGGCCTACGTGTGTCCCCCAATTTTGATTTCAATCTGCGTATGTACTCTGATGCAGACTGGGCTGGAGATCTCACAGATAGATCCTCCACATCCGGTTATATTCTGTTTCTTGATAGCAATCCTATCAGCTGGTCCTCTAAAAAGCAAAAGACTGTAGCTCGCTCATCAACTGAAGCTGAATATAAAGTTGTTGCCAATGCACTCGCCGAACTACTATGGGTCAGAAATCTATTGCTTGAGATGCGACTTCCTGTCAGAGATACCCCTACTATCTACTGTGACAACATTGGTGCCACTTATCTAAGTGAGAATCCAGGCCTTCATAGTCGCATGAAACATATTGAGGTGGACTTTCATTTGTGTGCAACAATGTTGAATAGAAGGTGGTTCGAGTTGTTCATGTTCATTCTGCTGACCAACTAGCTGATATGCTCACGAAAACACTGGCCAAACCAGCCTTTGAACGTAATTTGTTCAAGTTAGGCTTAGTGACACATAGCCTAACTTGAGGGGGGCGTATTGGATCACCAGTTCTTGTTACTAGTAGTTATTAGTTTGTTTTTAGTATTTATCACTTTAGATTAGATTGCATTTATCTTCTAGAATAGATGATATTATAGTTAGGCATTTAGAGTTATCCCTTTGATTTAGATAGGATTCGTTAGTTATTAGGTTTACATAGAACTCTACAAAGATGGTTACTGTAACTTGTATTTAAACTCACTGAGGTATTCAATAACAGATACAGTATTTTTCATCATCTATTCAAGTCTTCATATGTTAGTCCTAATAGTTTTCAAGAATACTGAGAATTAATTTAATTCTAACTTTCTCCATAAACATATGTCTGGTAAATGTTAAAAATTTAATTGTGCGTTTATTTAAGGTTGGAGATTTAGTTATTACTTAATTAAGTAAATTTGTTTAATTTTAATATATGTTCAGATCTAGTGAAAACTTTTCTTCATCCATTGCTTTTCTGCAACACATGTTTTGTACTATTAGTAAAATTATCAGCTTTCACCTATTTGTATTATTAATATAAGTTGACAGGTAGCGTACGTATAAACGAAAGCGGCAAAAATCGTTTGGGTAAAGGTGAGGTAAGTAGTAATAAAATGAGCTTTCACCTATGATTTTGTTAATATATGATTTCTAGACTTGTCTTTACTTTCTAGGGGAACCCAAAGAAAGATTCGCTTCTAATTACAGCCTTCTAGGCTTTTTTACTCTACTACATTTACTGCAAATTTGTAAAACAGTAAAACTACCAAAGATTTTGCCTATATAGGGAAGGCAATGCTTATCATTTATATCAAAGTGCCTTCAAGCATTCTTGAGTTGTTTTTTTGTTTCCCTTACCACAACTTCTTCAGCTCATATATCAAACATGGGGTCCGTATCTCTAAACTTGAAGGATTTCGTGCAAGTTAAAATCTTGTCAAAAAGCCTCATAAAACCCTCATCACCAACTCCAGAACACCTTCAGAATTACAACTTATCTTTCTTCGATCAAGTAGCTGACAGAGCACACGTTCCTCTTATTCTTTTCTATCCTGATAATTCTAAGAATTCAATAAATATGGAACAAGAGCTCGAAAAATCCTTGTCTAGGGTTTTAACTCATGTGTACCCTATGGCTGGTAGATTCACAGAAGATGAATCTTCAGTTATTTGCCTCGATCAAGGTGTGACATATGTAAAAGCAACTGTTAATTGTAAGCTTGTTGATTTTCTCGCGGAAGCATGCAAAGACCTTAATCTTGCATTGTCTTTTTGGCCTGATGGCATTATGGACGTGGATGACACTAATATATTCATCACACCACTAATGATTGTGCAAGTCACAAAATTTGAATGTGGTGGCCTAGCTATATCTACTAGCTGTACACACATTGCTATAGATGGATTCACGAGCTTTACATTTGCTTATGAATGGGGCAAAGTGTGCAGACTTGGGATTCCTTCTAAGGAGATTAACTTCATGAGCTTCAATTTGGGCACTCTTTTCCCTACCAGAGATTTATCAAATATTCTTGAGCCTCCTGTTGATGAAGGCAAACGTATACTATCTAAGTTGATTGCAAGGAGGGTTGTTTTTGATGAAGCTTCAATATCAAAACTCAGAGAGCAATTTTCCACTGCCATTGATTCTGGAGCTTTGAGTTTCAAACCCTCACGAGTTGAGATGATCACAGCGCCGTTATGGAGGTCACTAATTTGTGCTTCGTGTGAAAGAAATGGGCATTTGAAACGGACTATAATGTCCTTTCCACTTAATTTGCGCGGTACGGTTACTTTTCCTGAAGTTGCAAACTCTTTTGGGAATATTATCATTGAAATTCCTATAAAATCTGAACCTGATGAAACAAAGATGGAGTTGCATCACTTTGTAAAACTGATACGAGACGCAGTGCAGCTGGCGAGTAGTACTTGTGTTAAAGCTACTCCAAATGAGATTATTTCTTTGGTTGTCAATTTATACAAGGACAGTTATGGTGGATTAGATGGGGAAGAGACAATGAAGTTGAGAATTTCACAATCTCAAGTCTGTGCAGGTTTCCAATTCAGAAAGCTGATTTTGGTTGGGGAAACCCAAGTTTAATACATTTTGGGTCGAGACACAGTCAAGTGTTTTGGTTGAATGATACAAAATGTGAGACTGGCATTGCCGTGCAAATGGATTTGCAGGAAACTTACATCAACTTCTTTGAACGTGACCACGATTTCTTGGCTTTTGCTAAGTTTTAGTTTTCCCATTGATGTTTTTGCTTTCATTTCCACTTCTTCGTTTACTGTGACTTTAATTGCTGCAGACACATTGGCAACAACTTCATTTTTCCAGATAATTGTCACGTTGTTTTGGATTTTCAAGCTAAGTGTTGTTTGTTTCTTAATTTTTTCTGGACTACAGCACTTTTTTGCTTTTTAGCATTATTTTTTCTCGTACTTGCCCTTTTGACAAAAGGTTTGTTTGACTTCTTTGTCTCGCTCTCTTCTCCACACTCCATCATACTTCTCGCAGTAGGTATAGAGTGAACGAGATCTACAAAGAAAAAGCTCGAAATAGTCCCTTGTCCTTGGACTTAGCTTAGACTCAAATGGCATATATCAAATGGTATGGTGCACCATGTTAAATCAGGACTAGTAAAATTATCTCAGGTGTCTAAATGATATAGCATGTCAAATCAACATGAAAACCAATCAAATATTGTCAAATGTTCAAGTGACATTATTCAACCAATCAAATATAATTTTATTATAGAGCTTTTTGCGATAGTTTTGATGACTCAGGTAAACAAATCAAACTGGAAAAAAGAAGACTATATAGTCATCACAAACTTCATTCCCCTATAATTATAAATAGGGGTTCCAAAAAGCCAAAAGGGATCAGTAATGCATATAACAAGAAGTCTTCCTTCCAATGGAGATCTGCAAATCTTCTATGTATTAAAAAGTCTTTCCCTCTGGTGGTGATGAAGAAGTCTTCAATATATTACAAGTTTGCGATCAAAGTCTAGGATTGCATTCGTGATCATTCAAACGACAATTCAAGAACAAGGGGTCAATCCTTTGAGTTGAAGGTCGTAAGGAAAAGAATCAAAGGACAATATCTTTTGATTAAGATAGTCTAGAGATTATAACCTGCATATAAATATTGAACAAATGTGCTATTATTTATAACTATTTTTCTTATCTTAATATTTTTCACAACAAAATTTGGTGTTACAAATTTTGGCACGCCCAATGGGACTGTCTTTATCTCATCTATTCTCTCCAACAATCAAAGTTCAAGACACTAAGATGTTACCAAGAAGGTCAACTAAATTCACTTCCGCAAAGGCTGCTGTATCTATATTCTCCATTGTTGTGGGAAACATCCTAGTCGTCACTAAGGAAAGCGTGGGTCTAGTCACAGGGAACTAAGCCAAATTTCTAGGACAACAAAACTTCCCAGGTGTAGTCTGAATTTCATCATCTTCAAAAGGAATGATATCCCCCGCAAGCACGACAAAAGAAGGGAACAACATGGCCAAAATGGCCGAGAAGGTTCTTTCCTAACTTAGCTTATCAACGTCCAAAAGAACAATTCGTGGAAGCCAATGATGATGTCTGGAGCATTAGATCTACTTCCTCCACTTCGCATAGTATATGCAAATTTCATGTTCGGAAAAATTCATATTATTAGCCATCATCAATAACAGTGATACATGCGATAATGACCAATAGTTTGCTCATAGGGGAACAACTTACAAGCTTGACAAGAGCTTGACAAGAGCAGTTGAAGGCTTGACCAAATATGTGCAAGATCAAAACACTTGAACTGGAAAGTTAACAGATATTATGTAAGGCCTAAAGAATTCAGCCATGCATCTGGGAAGCGTACAAAAGTAGAAAAAGACGATTAATTCTTCTGCAAAACAAGTGGCACCTACTAAGGAAATCCAAGTATCTCTAAAAGGATGATTCTAATTGATCAACTAAAGGAGCTCATCGCGCGAGCTATCAAGGATAAGTACGAGGTTCTTGCAAAATCCTCTATTAGTTAATTCTGCAAAATCATAGTACATTGTAAGGATTGATAGGTTGAAGATGTCCGCCAATTATCAACCCCAAAATTTCCATAGTTTGACGGTAACGGAAATTCGAAGCAATATATGGCATATTTCATCGAAACATGCAGCAACGCTGGAACACCTTGAGTCTGGTTCTACTGATTGGGAGCAACTGGAACAATAATATTTCAACCGCTTCTACACTAGAAGACATACCGTAATCATGGTAGATCTTATAAAAATTCTTCAACAGAAGAAAAAACGAGTTATTGACTTCATCAATCGATGGAAGCATGCAAGTCTAAACTGTAAAGATAAACTTAGTGAAATTTAGGGAATATAGATATACATTAAAGGTGTACACTAGGATCCACTACATCTTGCAAGACATAAAGCCTAAGACATTCAAAAAATTAGCTACTCATGATATGAAGTTAAGCATGACCGTAGCTAGAAATGAAAGACCGCATGTCCACGAACCTCACAAAGAAAAAGAGAAGCAACAAATCAAGTAGATGGGAAAATTTATACTTAAGGTCAAAAATAAAAAAATTCATGGACGTCAATGGTTTGNTTTGCGGTAAAACCAGTCTATCAGCGGTGCAGTCGATGGTTCCGTGCCTTTCCCGCTTGAGTTGTCCGCTCAAGGGTCCCGGTCTAATACCCCATAGAAACCTTATTCTATTTAACTGTACATGCATCACTGTCAAATCTAGACGAGCAGTTATGCTGCCCACATAATGACTCTTTAAGATAGCCTTGTCCAAAGTCCACTAGGTTTCCTTGGAACCCAAACGGACACCACCATATTCTGTGCATTTATTTGGAGAACTAAATGTCGTTTATGCTAATTATTGGTTTAAATAGTCGAGTCCGGTGAGGGGTATGGTCTTAACCCTTTTGTTTTGCAGAAAATGGAGAACAAGGTCCCCGACTTCGGTATGGTCAGTATACCCTCGCTCTTGCGGACCGGGTGGAGGAATCTCCCATCAAGTGACCAAATCAATGAATGGAAAGAGAGGATCATAGTACATTGTAAGGATTGATAGGTTGAAGATGTCCGCCAATTATCAACCCCAAAATTTCCATAGTTTGACGGTAACGGAAATTCGAAGCAATATATGGCATATTTCATCGAAACATGCAGCAACGCTGGAACACCTTGAGTCTGGTTCTACTGATTGGGAGCAACTGGAACAATAATATTTCAACCGCTTCTACACTAGAAGACATACCGTAATCATGGTAGATCTTATAAAAATTCTTCAACAGAAGAAAAAACGAGTTATTGACTTCATCAATCGATGGAAGCATGCAAGTCTAAACTGTAAAGATAAACTTAGTGAAATTTAGGGAATATAGATATACATTAAAGGTGTACACTAGGATCCACTACATCTTGCAAGACATAAAGCCTAAGACATTCAAAAAATTAGCTACTCATGATATGAAGTTAAGCATGACCGTAGCTAGAAATGAAAGACCGCATGTCCACGAACCTCACAAAGAAAAAGAGAAGCAACAAATCAAGTAGATGGGAAAATTTATACTTAAGGTCAAAAATAAAAAAATTCATGGACGTCAATGGTTTGCCTATGAAGTTCAACACTAAGGTAACCAAGAAGTAGAGTGTAAAGAAGACATATATGGAAGATAAGGCAAATAGAAAACTAACTCTGAATAAAATTCAAGAGAAGGAGTACTCATTTTTTAATTCTAATATTCCTGAAATCCTTGATGAAATCCTTGAGCTAAAACTTCATGAGTTGCTAGAAATAAAATGGTAAAATGAAGCAAGAACCAATGAACGTAATTATTGCAAGTATTATCGATTGGTTGGCTACCTATTGAGAAATGTTTTGTCTTCAAAGATAAAGCCGTGGGCCTAGCCCACGAAAGGGATGATCACACTTGAAGGTGAGAAAGCAGGTGCGAATTAATTGCTATCTCTTACTATGCAAAGCGAAGCAGTGCCCATAAAAGGAGGATCCTCAAAAGGAGATAGAGACCAAGTAGAGCAACTCAAAGACAAAGGTAGGATTCTCGTGATTCATCATAAACATCAAAAAGTAGGTTTGCAAAAGGAGTCAACTAACGAACGTACTAGGGAGAAAATGATAATAAAATCCAAAAAGATAAGTCCAATTAAACACTCAAAGAAGGAAAATATGGAGGGGAATCATAACCAAACCCCACTTTGACCAGTAACGTAGGAAGAACTTTCAACTAACTGGTTTCTCACCAAGTTTTTTCTAAAGTGACATCAAAGTTCTGTGATATAACATTGATGAGAAAGAAGCGAAAATGGAACCTCATCATGTCCATCACTATAAAACCCTCTAAATTAGTCTCATGATGTCGTGGATACTTGTATGCCTAAATCGCGTTCATCCATGATGACATTCTACTTGGTGAACACCTCATAATATCCATTTATTCATTGGTCGAGTTTTTGCATGTGCAAAAGGTAAACAGAATTCTAATTAATGGCGGATCTAGAGTTAACATCCTTCCAATTGGCACAATGAAGAAACTTGGGATTTTAACGAAAAAACTTTTCTAAAGTCGGTCGTGATCCAAAAATTTAATCAAAGGGGGGCAAGGAGCCATAATAGCCGGTAAAGTGGACATCACAAACGAATAGATGCAATTAAATGCGTCGTTACATGTGATGATGCAAAAAATTCATACAACATATTTCTTGGTAGGCTTGGGTACATGAGAACTAAGTGATTCCATCTATTTACAATTATTATTTGAAGTATCACGAGGGTGGAGTTGAAAAGACGATCATTGCACATGGTAAGACATTCATTGAAACTGAGACACTTTATTGAGGCAAAGTTATACTTAAAGAACTAAGTCATAAAGTAAATATAAGTGTCACAACCCAAAATTCACCAACGACCGTGTTGGCACCTAAAACGCCGGCTAGGCGAACCAACAATATCACACATTAAATAAAGCCACTAGCATAGAAATAATAAGTCTAAACAAGTTCAGTTTTAGATAAGGCTAAGTATGATGACTAACACTAAAAAACACAACATCCGTGGATATGGTGTTATTGAACATATGAGCTTCGACGAGTAACAAAATACACGGGTTTAGAACAAATTTATTATGTTGTCCGAATAGACTGAACAATAAAACTTAAAGAGCGGAAGGCAACTCCAAGGGCTTGCAAATAGATATGCAGCACTACTTTGAGTCTCCAAAATTGACAACTAAACATCTCCCTCAACTCCACTAGGGCAAATATTAAATATGTGTCACGACCTCAATTTTCCATCTTAGAATCTCGTGATGGCACCTAGTCTCTAAAACTAGGTAAGCCAACAAGCATTTAGAAACAGCAGAAATAATATTAAAATTCAAATTAGACTATGTAAACTAGCATAATAGAACTCAACAGTACAGCGGACAACAACTCCAAAATTCTGGTGGAACAGATACATAAGCTCAAAAAGACTGTACTAATAAACTCGTAACACATTACTATTTTGGAAAAAGAAATAAATAGTAGAATGTCTAAAAACAAAGGGTGACCTTGAAGTCTCCGAGGCCTGCGGAAATCAACGTATACCTTGAAGTCTCCAAAAGTAGCACGCCAATCAATCTCTAGTGTCCAGCACGGGCAAACGTACTTGGATATGCACAAAAATGTGCAGAAGTGCAATATGAGTACACCATAATGGTACCCCATAAGTATCAAGCCTAACCTCGGTAGAGTAGTGATGGTGCCAGGTCAGGACACCTACTAGGACAAGATAAATGGAACACAAATATAACAACGGGAACTAATGAAAATAACAAACAGCTTAATAACGTAAACTAATGACAAGGTTGTAAGCAGAAAGACAACAAGAAGGAAACCATTAATGAGAACCTCAATTATTCAAATACGGACATAACTGGTAAGACAAGGAAGAATAAAAGCAACAAGAATGGTTCAACCAATAACTTATTTCAATATGAGTGCACAACAAAAATCACAACCGAGGTACCTCCTCGCATTCTCATTTCACAATTTCAATCACAATCTTTCCTTATATCACCATGTGAGCCTTACATTTAGTTTTAAAAATTATTTTTCCGAAAATAGCTACACGCGTTTTAGCTCACCATCACACCGCGTGGCTTCAAGTAGATCCCTACTAGCAGAGCGCGTATCAAGCCCACCTTATCTCATTGCATGTGCATAAACCCCTAGCCTTGTACCACCGCATGTGTATCAATATCACAACACAATCACAACTCGCACCACAAGTGCCATATGCCACGACTCTCTACAAAGTCAACAATACAAATATTTTAACAATAAATAGCCTATGGCTTAATCACAATGTGTACAAAAATCTCAATAATAACAAAAGAAATGTGAATTGCTCAACAAGAAGGATATCTCAACAATAACAATTTCATCTCAATGTGATAACGGCTTTTACAACTTCAAAACCAATATTCAACAAGAAGATATTCCATAAAATAACAACTTCAAGTAAAAGTAATTCAACAACTTAAGAGGTAACAAGACAATAAGGAAGGCAATAACTTCAACTAAACCATATAAGAGCAAAATAACAAGAAAGAGGTAGAACAAGTGTTAACAATGTCAAATAAAGCACGTAAGGGTAGATCAGCACATGTAAGAGTAAATTAACAATGAGGGATATAAATGTTATGACAATTCAATTAAATGTATGGAAAGAGTCTAAATAACCTATACCGATCAATTACCACATATAGCCCGTGTACCCACTCGTCACCTAGCGTACACGACATTCACATAACACAATTAGTACAAATAACCCAATTCCTAAGGGGTAGTTCCCCCATACAAAGTTAGGCAAGATACTTACCTCAACTATGTCAACTCAACCCTCGAAAATAACTTTTCCCCTAAAACTCTCCTTCACACGACTCAAATCTAAACCAAAAGTGACTTAATATAATCAAATAATGCCAGGAAAAACAGTTACAATAGATAAAGCTTTGATCTTTGCAAATTTCCAAAAACTAAATGTCAACCCCGGGCCCACCCCATTACAAATCAGGTCCAAGGGTAGATTCCGACTAGCCATAACCTCACAAGTCTATATATATTTTTTGTTTTCAAAACTTGAGTCCAAATCGGCTCTCAAAACTCAAATTATCATTTTTCAAAACTTAAACTCAAATTCTCATTTTTCAAAACTTAGGCAAAATTTATCAAATTTTCACTTTGATTCACAGAAATTTGATGTTAAATCTAGGATATAATCATGAAATATAGTTAGAAATTGATTAGAATCACTTACCCAATGTTGGTAGATGAAAATCCCCTCTCACAATCGCCTCCTACTGAGTCTAGGGTTCTAAAATATGAGAAATGAGACTAAATCCCAACTTTTTAGCCCTTATGTCCAGTTGTAGGTGGCGTATTTGCGGCACAGTGGTTCACATTTGGGAACCCTCACAATTGCAGATCAAGAATCGCATTTGCGAACCCTGAAAACCTCAACAGAAGTCACAATTGCGGCAAAGACTTCGTAATTGCGAGCTGGCTACTATCGCAAAAGCGACCA